AGATTTTCTTCATTTCAGTGTATCCTTCATTTCTGACTGGTTCTTTTCTTATGGTTTCTGTGTGGCTTTTTTCTTTTCATCCTGTTGAAGTTCTCACTAAGTTTCTTAAAGTTTTCACTTAAGTCCTTGAGTATCTTACAACCATTGCTTTGAACTCTGTATCTGGTAGTTTGCTTGCCTCCATTTCTTTGAGTTCTTTTCCTGGAGATTTTTTCTATTCTTTCGAGACCTGTTTGTCTCCGCATCTTGGCTGCTTCCCTAGGTTTGTTTCTATATGCTAGGCAGAACTGCTGCATCTCCTGGACTTGGTAGAATGGGCAATGCTGCAGCCTCCCCAGTCACTCGAGCTGGCCGTTCCAGGCGTGCTCCTCTATGAGCTGTATGCAGTGTCCTGTTGTAGTTGAGCCTTGATTCCTGTTGGCGTCACTGAGATGGATTGTCCCCCCAGCCAATCAGTTGTGAGGCCTGGCTGCAACTACAGCAAAGGAGCTGCTGTGCAGGAGTTGACTCTGCAGAGCAAGACTTGCTTCAGTGAGGCTTTGGTGCTCACCGAGTCCACCTCTTGAGTGTGTCACTTGTGGAGGTGGTAGGGTTTTAATCCAGTGTGATCTCAAGCTGTCCACCAGGTGCACTGGCTCTGAGCCCTCCTGGGAGGTACAAGGTCACCCACCACCTGTGCCCTGCCAGGGGCCACCCAGCATGAGCTCCAAAGTGATCTGCAGATGGCTGCTACTTATGCTGGGCTTGGAGATGACCAGGAGAGGCCAAGGTGTGAACCAAGGCTAGGTGCCACTAGTGCTGGGCCTGGGGCCACTTAGCAAAGAGGTATGGGGTACACAGAGGCGAGATACTGCTTATTTGAGAGATTTTAGAAAAGTTCGAAGCATGAGGCAAGAGAGGCCATTTTTGTGGAAAAGGCACTGGAAATAGCTTGGGTGAACCTGCAAGTTGGGAGGAGCAGGGTCTCGGGGAATCACCAGGGCATGAAAAGTGTGAGCCAGGTTGATGGAGACTCACGTATGGCACCCGTGTGCCAGCTCTGTGGGGGAAGGCCTCAGAAAAGGAGCAGTGGTTTCTGCTAGCACTTCGTCTGGCAGAAAGCTGGCCCCCCATCTCTTGCCCTGATGTCGGATAATTCAGTTCCTCTGTATATATCCCCTGTTCCTTTCGAGCCTCTGCCTCAGTGCTGGAGCTCAGAGGGAGTGAGTCAGCAGGCCCTTTAAGAGGAACTGCCTGGGCTCCAGAAACCCTCTCTATCTCTCAACTTCAATCCCTGCTGGATTTTACAGTCAGAAGTTATGGGGACTTCTCCTCCTGGCCCTGGAAACCCTGGGTTGGGAGGACTGGTGTGGTCCTGGGACCCCTTGCAGTTGGGGGGTTTGGGGGTTCTGAAGGTGAGGTACCACTCCCAATTTTTACCTGCTGCACATGGGTATAGGACCAGCCCAGTCTGTGTCTGCGCCCTTCCTACCAGTCTCGATGTGGCTTCTTTAAATCTCTGTTGCAGGACATCTGTTCAGCTGGATGTCAGGCAATTCTGAATGTTTCTGTAGTTTAGTTGTAATTCGGATGTGGTTGTGGGAGGCTTTGAGTACTGCGTTTACCTATGCGGCCATGTTGACTTGAAGTGTTAATGTCATTTTTCAAAATGATTTACTTTCTCATCTCCCAGAGTATATCCAGTAATTTTGTTGAGGTTAAAATCTCAAACCTTTGAGTACTATTTTGTAGTTTACTAAGTGGGTTAGTGTCATGCCTCAGAAGTAACTGACTTTTAGCCATAGATCAAGTGACATGCATGACTGGAAAGTAGCATGTGACTGCCTGCCTTCGTGACACATTTTGCCAGAAAAGGGGATTTCCCCTCTACTAAGGAGGTGTATATTGACCAGGATTACCTTAGAAAATTATTTTATTTATTTTTACTATGCATCTTCCCAGTAGAAGCAGTATTCCACCTAAAAGCTGTCTCAGGGGGAAGAGGTATAACAGTTGCTCCTCTCTGCTTTTGTTTTGCTCTGTTCCATCTAGTGCTGGTCAGTCGAAGGGCAAGACCCTGTTGGCTTTGATCTCCGCAGAGCAACTGGGAGCCTGGGGAAAACCCACAAAGGACTGGGCTTAGAGCCAAGGATGTTGGTTTGAATCTTGCCACTTACTGGCTGTTACTTTTAACTTATTCATCTGTAAAATAGGGTTAGTGATACCTATCTTACAGGGTTACTGTGAGATACCTAGTGAAAATCTAGAGATCTGGCATATAGTAGGTGATCAGTGAATGTTAACTTTCTCCTTGGAAAAGAATCTGCCAGAATGTCATTATGTACTTACAGAACTAGCTAGAGCATGTTTCCTGCCAGCTTGAAGGCAGCCACCCACTCACTGTGAAGTAAGTCTCTACCAAGCCCGTATTCTTTCACTCGGGCTAATGTATGACAGGTAGAACGATAGAGTTAGTCTGAAATAAAAGCTATAGACATTCCCTAATTTAATTAAAATCTTGGGGCAAGGGAAAGGAACCCAAATACTGTGGTGCTGCGAACAAAAATCTCTATAATCTTTGCCCTGTGATATGGGGAGATACAGTGTACTACCAGTCTGGCCTACTTGATCTCTCGTTGCTGAACAAGTTCTGCAGCTCCTCTTACGGTAGGCTGTGACGTAATGGTCGGAGATGGACAGAAGTAAGAGGTGGTGTTGAGGTGCTAGAGAAAGGATTTGAGATTGCTCACCTCTTCTTAATAATTCTCTTTCTTTAGATGTGTTTTGCCCTTGAACCTTCTGTTCCATGCATGACTCAGTCTCCCTTTTAGTTTTAAGGTCCTGTAACTCCTGCCTCAACATGCTGCTTTGTTTGCTCTGCCAGCAAGGAGGGTGAACTGGTTCAGTTTCATTTCAGCAAGTCCAAGCCTGTTTTTCAGATGGTACTGGTAATTAATTAATTCCTTAGCATTTTTAGTTGGTCAACTTGAAGAAAGCTGGATTTTTCATTCTAAAATACCATTTTTTCTTTTCATACACCACTGATGATAACTAGAAGAAATCCTGCCGTCATTTCCCATTTCTCTGTCTCTATTCTGACTCTCATCAAAGTATAGTGGACAGGACAGGCCCTGGCTGGTGTAGCTGAATGGATTGAGTGCAGGCCTGTGAACCAAAGGGTCGGCAGTTCAATTCCCAGTCAAGGCACATGCCTGGGTTGCAGGCCAGGTTCCCATTAAGGGATGCTCAGGAGGTAACCATACATTGATGTTTCTCTTTCTCTCTATCTCCTTCCCTTCTCCTCTCTCTAAAAATAAATAAAATCTTAAAAAAAAAAAAAAGGTATTGTGGATAGGTTGGGATTGTGTGACTAGAAGCCAGAAAATAGAACCAAAAAAAAAAAAATAGTGACAACTATTTAGCTTTTAGAAGGTTTTTTTAAATCCATTTCTTTGGGCTTAATCACCAAGGGCACTTAAGTTAAACATTTGGCTGGAGCTCCCAGCACCAGTGCAGGTGCTGACAGGGCTGGGAGCAGGAAGTGAGAGGACTGCGACACTGTGACCTAGCCCTCGTTTCACCCGGCTCACCGCGGCTCTCCCGTCCTTGCACTGCGGTGCATTTCCTCATGTGTCACAAAGAGGCCAAGGATGGAGTTCTCATTTCTCTTCCAGATTAAACCAAGATCTCTGGTTAATAACAGGAGGATAGAATTTAAAACATGTGAGACACCAGGATAGTAAAAGAACCTTGAATCTCTAGCTAGTTTAACTGTTTCCTGTGGCCTTACAACACACCACACGACAGCTTCTCTTGGGTTAAGTATCTTCCTCCTTCGTGACATTGGGAATGCAAGTGGTGCGGGCATTCACTCACTGCAGCCGCCTCCTTCACAGTCTGTTGATGTGGAAGTAGACTGAGACATGTAATGCCCTTATGGAAACATATTAAATTCACAAAGAGCAAATGGCAGAATTCTGATAAACCCAGAACACCTTCCTCATTCTCATCATATTTTTAGCGTGGAGACAGACTAAAAGTTTGGGGGATAGTTTGTTGAATCAAGTCCTGGAGTCTAAATCAAGGTTCTTAATGATGTTTCAGACCTGATGATAGGCGAGGAAATCCAGATGTGGGCACTTAAGGGGATAGCTCTCATTTCTCCTTTTCTTTTGGATCACTGTTAGCGTTTAATCATTACGAAGAGGAGCGGGAGCTTTCTTCTCACATGCAATCCTAGGCTATAGGCTATGGTCCCTGAGTTTTTCCAAACCAAACAGAAGGCCACAGAAAGGTGAGCATATAAAAGTGCTTCCTTTTCCACTCTTTGGACAAAGGAGGCCTTTTGAAAAACCAGGGTCAGATGATATTGGGCTATTCATACCACTTCAGCATCTCAGTGCGTTTGCCTAGGGACCTGCTTCCTCCTCCCACAGGGAGCAGCCTGTTCAACTAGAAAATCGATGACTGATAGAATCTCAGTTACTGGACTGGGGCTTTGTAAACAAAATCTGCCTTTGGAAGAGAATGAGGAAACCAGGGTACCTAAGTTAACTCAGCTCATAGTATTAAAATAATTGGCCTTAGGTGAATATGCTTGCTTTTTTCACTTTGGAGTTTCTGGCTGTCTTGTATTTATGTTGAGGTCTTGGTTAAAGTATTGTAGGCAGAACTGTTGAGTACTAATTTTTGTCACTGCTCTATTATCCTCAGCACTTTACACTTGTGAACTGATTTGTTTGAATTCTCAGAACGTTATGAGGTAGAGAGCAGATGAAGAAAGTGAGGCAGATTGGTAACTTGCTCAGGTACACAGGAGAGCCGGGTTCAGACCAGGCAGTTTTTTTTCTCCAGCGCTCATTCTCTAAGGACCACACAGCTTGTCATTGTTCTCATATCCAGTAGTTAATACTGCCCCTTGAGTTACAGAAAGACGGGGAGCAGAGTCGACGTTGCGGGTGTTTTTCAGAGTTTTACATCTCTGTCACCTATTTGGAACCAACCTCCCTTCTCTCTTCCAGTGCCGAGGAATGTAAACAAGTGTGCTGGGCCTTGCGAGACTTCACCAGGTTGTTTCGATAGCTCACGCTCCTCACTGTGCCTGTCACCCAGGTGAGTGGTACTCAGTTCCCAGGTTTCCTCTGGCTGTCTGGGGTGCTGGGGGTGGGCACAGGCTTCAGTGCCCATCACAGGACTAGCACAATAGCTAGAGTCAGGGAAACACCTAACAGTTTAACATGGCAGAGCAGCTGGGAAATGCAGGGCCCTGGTTTCCTTGAGCCAACGCAGCCAGATAACCATCAGCTTCTTTTGGGTGCCGCTTCACCCCCCTAGGGAAGTTACTGTTGCAGAATATCTCCAAAAACATTCCTCCTCCTCTTCCTCTTACAGACACTCCTAGGATTGTAAGTGTGTATGGTTAACAAACAAGTAAGTATTTTTTAACCTGGCTACTTTGGTGAAAACAGTGCTGACCTAAAGTTTCCTAAGATAGTACCCCTCTCCTAAACTGACCTTTCAGATTTAATGAGCAAACATGCTTATTCTTACCACTTTCACAATTGGAACACCGAAATGCCAGGTTTGGGCCGAGGCAGAGGGCCAGGAAGGAGCTGGCATCTCCGTCGAGCTCCGGACCGTCGGTTTTCTCCATGCGCTTCCTGTCTCCTGACTCGGACGCAAAGGAAGACGCTGCGCTGAGGAGAGGACTGGGTAGCGGGATTTGGATGCCATGCCACTAAGCCCGCGCTTTGGCGTCTTAGGCAGAAGTTATTTTGCCAGGAGTCAGCCCTCTGTGCGTGTACAGCACTCTCACTGGTGGCCTCTGAGATGAAATGCAGCAGTGGGTGAGGTGCTGCTCCGCAGTGCCCCACCGCACCAGGGATTATGTCAGTGCTTGGGTTCTTCAATGAGTAGTGATATCATCTGGATTCTTAGGTTTTACAGTGTCTGTAAAAGCCAACAGTGATACACCGTGGGTGGACAGCTGTGAATGTTCATAGCTAACATTTCATGGAGCCCTTACTGTGTATCAGGTACTGTTCTAAGTGCTTTATATGTATTAACTGAGATAACCCTCATACAGTTTCCTAGGTTAAGTTATCATTATTATTCTGGTTTTACAAAAGAGGAAATTGAGGTTGCAAGATGTTAAACAACTTGCTTGATGTCACGGTCAGTATAGATAGAGCCACAACTCAAATATAGACATCCTGGTGCCAGAGTTCTCTACCTTACACCTTTAACCACTCTGCCTAATACTTTTACAATACTGTCCTTTTCCAGAGAGACTAAAGCATTGGCTTTTAAACTTTTTTTTTTTAGCAGCAAGCAAAGCCTTCTTTTAAAATAAAGTCTTACATGAAACCCCAATATTTAAATAGAATGGGGTGGAGATTTTCTGGTTGGTGTGGAGTGGGCATCCTAGACCTACTGGCCGAGCCTCTGCCCCCCACTTACCAGCCCCAGTTCCCGCAGCACCCCAAGGGGCAGCAGACCCCAGAGGCGTGTTCCATTATAGCAGTGGGTCCCGTGACATCGTAAGTAAAAAATCCAACTTCTTGTTTCACTGAGTTCTCAAGACAGAGGTCAGAACAAGGTTCCTGAGCCAGTAGGGAAACTCCTGCCTTGAGTTTGTAAAACGCTCATTATCTCCTGGACCACAGGTGTTGACTGTCTTCTCTCTTTTGCCAGGAATGTCTTTTTTAATTAGAAGACAGGAAGAAAACAAAAGCCAGACTGTGTCCCACAATCAGAAACCTCCATTGTGGCAGAGGGGCCTTCACCGCCACCAGGGCGTCCCACCAGACAGGGAGAGACTCCAGCCTTCCGAGGCCATCCTGAGGAGTTCCTGTTTGGGGTGCGAGGGAAGATCAGCACAGTTTTTAAAAAGATGGCTGCAGCTTGTCCGGCGTGGTGGGAGGGGAGCTGGTTTCCTGGTGAACTTGTTTCTAAAAGGAAAAAGAATTTTACGGAAATAAAAGGAAAACTAAACTGAAAAGCAGAAGTGAAACATCCGCCTGGTAGCAGACGACACGCACACACACACACGAACATGCGTGTGCATACGCAGTGACAAAAACAAGGCAAATAGGAGTTCAAATGAATTAAATAGCTGCAATTGGAAGAAAAGGGTCAGGATCGCCTCTTAAGGTTTTTTATCGTGTTTCATCCTTTCTCTCTCTCATCTTCCCTTCTTGTTTCCCCTTCTCTTTTAACAGAGTAGAAATTGCTCCCATTCTCCCCAGCTGTTTCTTGCCACCTTTAGAGTTGTTTGGACAGGGAGGGGTAAACAAGGAGCCTTTTCTGTTTTGTGTCATGGTCACGTCAGTGATACTGGGACCCGGCAGGGCCAAAATCCATGTGCGTCCCCACCCCAGCTGTCCCGTTCAGTCTCTCCGCCCACTTCCGCTCCGTGCGGGTCGGTGAGCCTGGAAGAGGAGGCCGGAGTTGGCGGTGAGTGGGATGTGAATATATGGTCTGAGTTTTAGTTTGAGTTTCTTTTAATGTGTCACCCACGGACATAAGAGAACAGAAGAGGTTGGGAACGTGGGACGTGTTTACAGGGCTAAACTGTATTTTACTTAAAAATGTGGAAATTATTTGACCTCATGGGGATGAGGTGGGAGCGTAAAGCCCAAAGCAGATCTTACTGTTCTTTCACGCCGCAGCCCTGCACAGGCATTACGTACGAGCGCACTGTTCTGGCTGGTGTTGTAGCCATCTCAAGAACAAATCAGCAATGGAAAGAAAAAAAAAAAGAAAAGAAAAAATAAATTTTTAAAGTTTAATTAGTGTTTGTTTTCACTTCCTTTACCTGCCTTGTAGTTCTGAAATGGCGCAGCCGGACCACTTAGTTGCCATCTGACCGTCTGCGGGTGGAGTTGAACAGGTGGCGCCCCGTCCTCAGTGCTGCAGACCCCTGGTGTTTTAGGGGAGTGGCTCCTCCTGCATCTTTTAGTCTCCTAGTTCTCCCTAAAACTCTTCATGCCACATTTCTCTTCCCATATAGCCTCAGTGGAAAAGAGAAAGGGTCGGTCGGCATGTTGATCAAAAATGTGGTGTGTTCTCCCCACAGTGGCCACCAAGTAGGTGGATTGTTTCCTAACCCCTGAGTATTCGGTGTTTAAAACAAAACAAAGCCTGTGTTGAAGTACAGCTGACATGCAGAAAGCTGCACATATTTAAGGTGTACAATTAATAAGCTTCGACAGGGTACACCTATGAAATCATCAACAACCAAGATAGTCAACCTATTCTTTACTCCCAAAAGTTTCCCCACGCGACTCCCCACTCTCCCACATACCCAGGTAGCCTCTGGTCTGCTTTCTGTCATTGTAGATTAGTTTGCATTTTTTTGACTTTTATATAAATTTTATCATACAGTGTGATACAGTAATTGGGCTTTGAGCTAATAATCTCGACTGCAGAGCTGCATCTAATAGTTGAAATCAGTGAAACAAAGTTTTTTGCATAACATCAATGGGACTTAGAGTTTTATTCTCTAAAGGAATTATTGGAAGGGAGGGAAAAACTTAACGTGAAACGGTGTTTGGAATGAGATAGTCAGTTACTGGGGATCAGCACAATACCCCAGACATTCCTCTCATTTTCTGGGTAAACAGTAAAACTTTGAAGCCTGGTCCTTACAGCAGCCGGTTGGCTTTTTTGTTTAAGGAATTTGGCTTTTATGGCCAAGTTGTATCAGGGACTGAAAGAACATGTGGAAGGTGTAATAGAACTCTCTCCAGCCACTGAAAACCAGTGTGTGGCGTGCATCTCCTAGCCAATGTCGACGGCATCGCCACAGCCCTGGCTTTGAAACCCAGAGCTCTCTCATCTCGTCAATGGGGTCAGGGCCAAACTGCGCACACCCTCTTACAGAGTATTTCAGACTAGTTCTTAAAAATAGTTACTACTTTCTGGCGTCGCAAGGATACCCACCTAAATTTTAATTTAAAAAGGAACTGTTTGGCCCTGGCCAGTGTGGCTCAGTTGGTTGGAGCGTCATCCCCTAAACTGAAAGGTTCTCCATTTGTTCCTCAGTCGGGGCACGTGCCTAGGTTGTGGGTCCGGTCCCTGGATGGGGTTCATCCAGGAAGCAACCAGTCAATGTTTTGTTCTCACATCAATGTTTCTCTCTCTCTCTCTCTCTCCCCTCCCTCCCTCCCCCCCTCCCCCCCAAAAGCAATGAAAAAATTGTCCTCAGGTAAGGATTCATTAATTTTTTTAAATGACCTGTTTGCAATTATGTGCCCTAATGTACATACTGTGTTCCCGTGTACCCTTGTCTACTGTAATAAGAACAAGAGCCTTGCACCTGAACTACTTAAGTCACAAAGTCCCCACAGACTTTTTCCCTCATTTCCATGATTGCCTTAGCCAAGAAATTTTAGTCGTGATTATGTGAAATGCAGATTACCCATCGGGGCTAGTCTCCGCAAGATTGTACTGAAGAAAAGTAACTTGTAATGTTTTAGTACCTGTTCTATGAAGTCCAGTAACTGAGAATGTAGGGTAAGTAAAACATAAAGGAACACGAGCTTTCTTTCGAATGGCATCAACACCTTATGAATGCAACACACACATCCGTCCACCTTGTGTGGCCTTGGTTTAACTGAATCATTTTACAAAAATGAAAGTCAAATCTAGAGAAGTTAAAAATTCAACATTATGCAACAAGGTGTGCCTGCCCTTTTTTTTTTTTGAGATACGTTATCAACAAACGAGAAAAGTTGCTTCTAAGGAAATCCTGTGACAAAAATGGGAAAAGCCATCAATATCGTTTCCTGCTCTGAATACTGCACAGTTCTTTATGTCAGTGAAAAGCTGTGCTAGAGGAATTAAAGGGGAATGTTTACTTGGACACAAGGATGAACTTTGTGAAGGAGGGCTGGGAGGAAGTGAGGGAAACACTGAGTGTTCGCCCGCAGGGCCGTGAGCATCAGTGTTGGGTGGATTCCAACCTCCACACTAGCAGAGGCCACCAGCACAGTCAGAGGCCACTACCAGGCGGCATTCTAGGGGGCGGTGAATTCCAACACGCATCGTCCTGTCTTTTATCTCTGCAGTGGGTTATGTTCCCTCTCTTGGGTAGTGTTCATCCACAACTAGCTACTACAACACAGATCTATATGAAATGACAGCTTTGGCTGGTGTGGCTCAGTGGATTGAGTGCCCGCCTGCAAACCAAAAGATCACCGGTTCAGTTCCTAGTCAGGGCACGTGCTTGGGTTGAGGACCAGATCCCCAGTTGGGGGCCTGCCACAGGCAACTGATCGATATCTCTCTTGTATATGAATGTTTTTCTCCCTCCTTCCCTTCCCCTCCCTCTAAAAATAAATAAATTGTAAAAAAATTGATAGGTGTGCTGTCTGTATTTAAGTCAAAAAGCAGAAACCCAGTGAAGATTTTCGGCTGCCAAGAGCGGCCTGCAGTATGGGAGAAGTCTCTCTACGAATGGTCACCTAGTGCAGATTCTCCTTTCAGGCTTCCATAATCGTCTGTCTGCAGTCTCCCTGCCCCACCTTTACCGAGGGTTGCAAACTCAAAGGCCTTCAAGGACAAGGCAGTGAAAGGAGAAACAGGCTCTGCAATTGACGGAGACATTCCCATCAGGTTCCAGCTGATTCTTGGCATTGGGAAATGCGAGACGATGTTTCTGAATTTGCCAACTTTCTAGAAGAAGCTGGTAATCAGATAAGTGACATCTCCTAATTTTAAAGTGTTGACAACGAATTTCAATCTGAAGAGGACATAGAGCCGCACAGGCCCGTGGGGAGGAAGGCGCTAACCTTGGTAAAGGGCTGTACACTAAGACTGAAGACAGAAGGAACTGTGTATGAGTAAGCACTGTACTCGATCTAGTCGGTCAAGTTTCTTAAAGGGGTTTGGGTGAACGATTCTGGAACCTCTGTCCCTGTGTGCAATATGGACAAGGGGTAAGGGAAGTCAGTGGAGAAACCTGACAAAGGCAGCCTTAGCCAGGTGATCAAGGTCAACATCAACAGTGATTAAGTCATGGTGATAGTATGTACCCTCAACATGATACGGTGAGGGTAATACTTCACCTCTGTAGTCTTTCTTACAAAAAAACATGATAAACCTATCAGATAGAACCAAGTGAGAGACATTCTAAAATACACCCTCAATCCCTGGCCAGTGTGGCCCAGCTGGTTGGAGCATCATCCTGTAAAGGAAAGGTGGTAGGTTCAATTCCCAGTCAGGGCACATACCTGGGTTGTGGACCAGGTCCCACAACTAATCAGTGTTTTTCTTCCCCTCTCTCTAGAGATGAATATATAAAATCTATATTTAAAAATAGCAATGAAAAAATTTCCTCATGTGAGGGTAAAAAGTAAAACAATGAAGAACAAGGCAAGTCTGAGAAACTGTCAGATCAGTGGAGGCTAACAAAGATGGATAAATGTAATTTGATAATTTGGATGGGATCATGGAACAACTAGATAAAAACTAATTGAATAGAGAATGGAGTTAATAGTGTATTCATATTGTTTCGTTAGTTGTGATAAATACACCCTAGTAATGTTAGGTATTAGCGGTTGGGGAAAGTGGGTGTAGGGTGTGTGGGAACTCTTTAGCAATTTTTCTATAAAAGTCCAAGTCTAAAACTTCTAAAATTGTAGTAAAAATCTGCACAGGCCTCTTAAATGTCTGAGGACGTTCAGCCTTGCTCCTAACGAGCAGTGGTCCTGAGATTCTCTCGCTTGTCAGGTCAGCAAAACCCAAAAAGTTAGTGTATCTGCTGGTGAGACTGGGAAAACAGGACACCGATAGGTTTGTCAGGATTCTGCCAATATCTAGCACAATTACACACATATTTATGCTTTGGCCCAGAAATTCCGTTTCTGGGGCTCCATCCCAAAGAGACACTGACAAAAGCACAAAAAGACCTAAATACATACAAGCCTATACTCCCTGTAGCATGATGTACAATAACTAAAGAGGGGGACATCTCAAAGGCCCACTAACAGCGTGGTCAGAACAAAAACCTGCACACAGCTGAGCCTCTGGGACCCGGAGTCTGGGTCAGAGTGCCGTTTACAAGGGACGTGGGCAGACGCGGGTGGCCGAGCACGTTAACGGCACAGAGGCCTGGTGGGCGCATCCAGGAGAGAGCAGAATGCAGAATGAACAAGGCAGTTTCTTCCACAAGTAAACTGCAAGGGAATAAAATTTCTCTAACGTCTTATGTTTTAAACCATAGATACTTGATGAGAATTCATTTGTCACATTAGGTCAGGTGATATTTTTTTTAGAATGTCCTCGCCCTTTAGAGATACATTCTGACTCTTTACACATGAAAATCTACATGTAGAATTTGCCTCAAAATAACCTCTGGGAGGGGGGTATGGATGGGAGTTTAGGTGAGAAAGGCTGTATAAACTGATCATTGTTGAAGCTGCTGCTTGAGGATATCATACCAGTCTCTCAACTTTGACAAATGTGTGAAATCCTCCATAACAAAAAGATGAATGACAACACAATTGTTTAGGCCAGAAAAGCACATCTATGAGCCATATTCAAATAAGGAGCTACCAGTTTGCATGCATTGTCCTACTAGATAAATAGCACATGATTTATACATGAGGACGACATTGTCGTGGCCCTACATGTAGCTGAAATACCAGACCTTTTTCACCATTTCTTATGGGAAAATTTATTTGGACAGGATTGTAGATTCTGCGCCCATTTAAAAATCCACACCCTTGCTTTAGCCAGCTTCCTCCTGGAAAGCAGCCAGCCTGGGGCGTGTTGAGGGCTCACTGACTCACCGACCTGGAAGGCAGGTCCTCCCTGTGCCCGCAGCCCCAGCAGTGGGGAGCAGGTGCTGGGGACAGAGGGCCAGCTGGTATCAGAAATAGGGTCTTTTAGAACGGCATGGAAACAAGTGCTGGAAAAAGTCAAGAAACAGCTGGAAGTGTGTTTTTAACATTTATTAATCCAAAAATACATAAAATTCCACTTTCTACCTCAGGTTCTTGGATTCACAAGAAAGGAGGTAGCTGTCAGCCTTAAGTATCTGGTGCAATACCTAAGTGCTCAAATCTGTCTCAGAAAGGAGAAAGATGAGGAAGTGAGGCTTAAACTAGGGAACCCCCAAATCAGGCCCATGCCCTGCGGAGGCCCCACCAGGGGAACCTGCCACAGGACTTGAGGCTTTCTGCCAGAGGAAATGGGGGCACTCTGGGACCACTTCCTCTATACAGTTAGGCCCCGGCATCCTGGGAAGCCCTTCCTGCTCACTGGTGTTGACGGCTGAATTCCTTCAGAGCCAGCAAACCGGAGCTAGCAGAGAGGCATGTCCAGAAGACAGAGCCCCCAAAGCAGACCTGGCTCCCAGCCTCCCTCAGCTTCTGCAGGGAGAATCTGGAACTTGGGCTCCTCTCCTGTCCCCTTGGCCCAAATCTGCTTCCAGGAGACCCAGAGATAAGACCCTGCCGCCAGGCAGGTGCCCAGCAGGGCCATCACACCTCCACAACAGTCCACATAGCCTCCCAGGAAGCCTGCTGCAGTCACTGTATGCAGCCTCACTGCATGCCAACTGGGTGCATTGGCCAGGGCCCCTGGCCAGCAGGAGGGGCCTGGGCCACAGGCTGCATCTGCTGCTGGGACTGCCAGATGTGGTGGAGCTCCTTAAACTGCTCCACCATGCGATCTTTGAGGTCTGGGTTTGAGATCTGTAGCCGTATACTATCGGCCGACCAGGAGAGCTCCCCTGAGAACATTTCCAGCAGCAATCGAGCCGCTACGGGCACCACCTGGGGAGCAAAGAGAACAGCGAGAACCTTGATGGGGCTGTCAAGTCCAGCTGTGCTGGAGGACATCTACCAGGGGGCAGGTGGTGGACCGCATCCATCGGGGCAGGGGCACCAATTTCTGCTACATAAGAAGGCTACTTATGTGTGGGGAGCTCTGGGCCTTGATTACCACTAACTGCCAAGTTCAAACTGCCCAGAGAGCCCCGAGCCTCCACTGTGGGGCAAGGGCTTGCCTTGGGATTCCCCAATATTTAAGCTAAAACAGAGTTGGCGGGGTGGGTGGGGGGAACATACCTGTACAGTGATGAGCTTCTTCTCTCGGGGTTTGTGGTCAGGCCACTCCTCTCCAAAACAGAAAAAGATTTCAAATGGTGGTGGGGTGTTGGTCTGGCCCTTCTGGAACAGGATGAGCTCTGCAGAGAGAACAAGACCGTTAGTCAGAGGCTAGAACTGTGCGCCTGGACAAGAGGCGGCCGGGAGGAACATGATGTGGGGCCCTCACCGTTGAGAAAATGCTCCAGGCTGAAGAGCTTGGTCTTGACCTCCCGCTGGATGGGGTTGGGGTGCGAGCCATTAGTGGAGGCGCAGGGCCCACTCCAGAACACCTTGCATTGGCACAGGCGGATGGCATAGAGATCCTGGCCTTGCAGCTGGAGGATGAGCCCGCGGTCCAGGACATCCAGCAGCTGGTTTGTGTAGAAGCGCTGCTTGTCACTGGGGATGTCCTCGGGGCTGGGGAAACGCACTTGCTCCAGACTCACGGGCCCGAAGAGCTCCACCTGCTCCTGGGTGGCCTGCAGCTGACTGTAGAAGAGCCGGCAGCCGTGAGGGTTGCTGATGGTGAGGGCACGGGGTGGCCGCCCCCGGTACTGGAACTTGATCTCCAGGTCGGTGACTGTGGGGCAGAGGGACGGGACCACCAGGTCCGTGAGCCCCGCCCCTCCCTGTTCTGCAGCCCACAACTTTCTCTGCCCAGTGTCTGGGTCATCTTGTCATCTCTCCCACTTACTTCCACCACCACCACCCCGCCAGGAGGGACTGGCATGAGCATCTTTGTTCTTTTCTTCGCCACCCTCCAACCTCCTGGCAAACTGACCCCCGGCCCCGCTTGACCTGGCCCAGCCCTCCTGCCCGAGGCTCCTTACTTACGGGGCAGCATGTGGGGGCTGATCAGCAGGTCGGGCAGGAGTTGCTCGCCTTGGGGTGGCAGGCTGTCAGCCAGGGGCCCAGGCTGCAGGCTCGGCAGGACCTCAGGGAGAAGCTCCCCAAAGGCAGCAGGGTCCCCAGGGGCAGAGCCCAGGAGGCAGGGGTCTGGAGCAGGGGGGCCCAGCCCCACGGGCTGCTGGAGAGTGGGCGGCCACTTGACATCCTCTTTGGGTAAAGAATAGGGTGCCATGGGGGGCCCAGGCTGCACTGCTTCTGCAGAAGATGGGGGTGGACAGAGCTCTAATGCCACTCCTAGAAACTGCCTCCCAGGCCCACCCAGTCCCAGCCCTGTGCCTGCCCCCAACCCCCCTTCCCTCCCCACCCAGGTACCGAGGGTACCTTCAGCTCCTCCTTATATTAGGCCCCCAACCACACCACCTCCTAGCCCCACCTGTGAGGCTCAGGCTTGGTAACATCCTCTGGAGCTGCAACGGAGACACAGAAAGGAGGAGGGAAGAGGCCAGAGAGAAGGGAGGACAGGTCATTAAACTGATCTGATGCTAAAGAAATAACATGAGAACCACAAGGCAATTCCCTGGGCTTCGGCTTAGCCGAGGCCAGACCCTGCCCCCAGCCCCAGCTCTGCTGCCCCAGGCCGGAGAGTGAGCCCTCAGCGCCTCAGCTTCCACATCTGCCTTCTGAACAGGTATAGCACCTGCTGAGCAACTGCTGTGAGGGCCAGTCGGGCAGCATGCGAGCACACTTTGTACCCACGAAGCTCCAGGGGGTTCAAGGTGGTGACCTTGTTTCTATGCTCAGAATCCCAGAGAAGAACCTTACAGTGGAGCTGCAGGAAGAGCAGCAGGTTCCAGAGGAGTGCGGCTGCCAGGTGGTAGGAGCGGGAGGACAGCAGAGCGCCCCCACCAGGCCCACCGCGGCAGGGCAGGCAGACGCTGGGAGAACGCCCCCACTCACCTCGTCGTCGTCATCGTCCTCCTCCTCCTCTCCTGCGCCACAAACGTAATCCTCAGTGGGCTGTGGCTCTGCAGGTGGAGGGACAGAAAAGAGAGACAGGAAGGAAGTCAGTGGGAGAGGAGGAGGGAAGCCACGGGGCCCACGCGGCAGCTCCTGCTGTGGCTCCTCCCCTGCCCGGAGCTGCCCAGTGAGGTGAAGAGTGCACAGCCATCAGGAATCAGTAGGAACCTCCCTGACCCCATGACACTCAGCTCCCTGGGCCACCTAGAGCCAAGAACAAGGGCTGGCTGGGGAAGACACACCAGGGCCCTGTTCCATGCCAAAGCCATCTCAGGCGACCCCGGAAGCCCCGGGTGTTACGACCCAGTAGCGTGAGCTGGACCACTGCACGGAGAAGGGCCCTGGGCCTTCCTGCACAGCCCCCTAGGTGGCCCGTGCAGGGTCGGGCATGATACCTGCAGGAGTGGGGCCGTTGGAGCAGACCTCGTAGATCTTGTAGGGCTGAGGCGGCATGTCCCGGGGCCCATCATAGATGAGGCGGAAGTCACGGCTCTTGTTCAGGGCACAGCGCAGGTTGGCCTTCCACTTGGCTGGATCAGCCTCGTCCACCCCCTCCGTGTACTTCCCCGTCTCCGTGGCCCAGGCCTGGGGCGGGAAGAGAAGGCAGGCAATCAGAGAGAACCTCAGCCCTCAACTAAGCCTGGCCCCTCTTGGCCAATGGGGATTGTGGCTGTGCGGGGAGACCTTCATTGCCCCTCTGCAAGGTGGGACATGGGGTGCCAGGCCTCCCCAGCCCTCAGGGCTCCAACAAGCTGAAGGAAATCGAAGTGTTTTGAAAGGCATTGATTCACTGCCCCAGGGTACACAGATACAATCTCTAAGAAGTGGTAACAGCATGGGGTCTGGCGTGGGACTGGGTTTGGACCGGAAGCTGCCACCCACCGGTTGTGTGCCAGCAGCACGTCACTCTGTCTTTCTTTGCTTTGTCTCCTCATCACAGTACCCACCCTCTTACGGTGGCCGTGAAGACATGATCAGGGCCCATGAAACCCTCTGCACCAACTGTGCCTGTGCTTAGCGTGGGCTCTGTGCCCGTGAGTTGCTCTGTGCTCTGTGTCGTTATTTTGGAGAGCACTTTGACTGATTACAAATGCTTCTACCTTTTAACCCAGCCATTCAACTAAAGGAATTTATCCTACAGACACAGAAGTATCCACACAAAAATTCTTCAAACACAAGATTATTCATTGCAGCACAGTTTGTAAAAGTGAAAGACCCAAAATAATCTAAATGCCCATGAGCGAGGTCTGGTTACGTTTTGGGCAATGCCAGCTATGGAACACTGGGCAGCAAGGGGGCCAAGGAGGAAGAGGTTGCCATACTGACATGTGGCGATCGTCAAGGTCACGAGGTGCAGGGGAATGTGCATGTTTGCTGTACAAATATGTCTATCATCTTGTGAAAAGTCGGGGGAAGATAAATACATAATTGCTTGTATGAGGTCTGTCCGGAAGAAGTCCAGCCACTGGTAATATAAAAAGCAGTTTGTGTGAGACCTGTGGAAACTGGCAGCCAAGGAGCATGCACTAGAATGCACCTGTGTGAACAATGATGACTTCACTGTACTGGTCAGTGGGGGCAGTAGATGCTGTTCAGTGAGCATGTGCACTGTGTGGTCGTCACATTCAAAATGACAGAGTGAGTAGAGCAATGAATCTGCATCAGATTTTGCTAAGCCTGAACATTCCAACACAGAAGCTATTCAAATGATTCAGATGGCTGCAGCTGTGGGCAACTGGTGATTGGCAGCTTCATCACAACAACATGCCTGCTCATGCATCACGTCTCATGCAGAGTTTTTTTTTTTTTGCAAAACATCAAGTCACCCAGTTGACTCAGCCCCCCTGCAGCCCAGATTTGGTGCCCGGTGACTTCTGGCTTTTCCCAAAACTAAAATCACCTTTGGAAGGGAAGAGATTTCAGACCGTTGATGAGATTCAGGAAAATACAACGGGGCAGCTGATTGGCAGTGGAGAGACCTGTGTGAGGCCCCAAGGTGCCTACTTTGAAGGGGAATAAGGTGCCAACTTTGAAGGGGACTAAGGTGCCATTGTCCTACGTACAACGTTTTTTGTATCTTGTATTTTCTTCAATAAATGTCTCTACTTTTCATAGTACATGGCAGGATACCTTCTAGACAGATCTCACATATACACAAAAATCTTTTAGGAAGGACAAACAAGAAACCAATAATAATAATTGCCTTTAGGGAGGGGGTGGGTGGCTGAGGACAGGGGTGGGAGGGAGACTTTTTGCTGTAAACCACTGTACACTTTTTTATACTATTCAAAAATATGAAATGGGTTTGAAAAGAACCTTGACCCCTGGCTGGTGTAGCTCAGTGGATTGAGTGTGGGCCGAGAACCAAAAGGCTGCCAGTTCAATTCCCAGTCAGGGCACACGCCTGGGTTATAGGCCAGGTCCCCAGCTGGGGGCACGTGAGGGGCAACCACACACTGATGTTTCTCTCCCTCTCTTTCTCCTTCCCTTCTCCTTTCTCTAAAAATAAGTAAATAAAATATTTAAAATAAATGAAGAAAAATAAAAATAAGCATTCTCTGTGCTGCAGCAATGTTGAACTCTAGGAGCCAACTCCGAAGAACAGCACTGAAGATGCACAGAGGGTGCGGGCGTAGAGGACGCGCCTGGCAGTGTGGTCCTCGACCCCAAAACACTGAAGTGACCTGAAGAGTCTGACCACTGGGACTGGGGACTTCACTGTGCTAAACCCTCCAAGGGAATCTTCCGTGGTCAGAGAGTGACGAGGCACATGTGGGAGAGAAAAACCAGTGCTGATTTTGGGATGAAAAACGCAGGTTACAAAACAACATATAGCCTGATTCGACGTTTGCATTTCGTATATGCACTTGTGCAGAACCTGAAAATATGCACAAAAAATAGAGTTACCTCCTGATGTTCCAACCGCACTGTTGTCTGTTGTCTTAGCGTGCGCACTCACCAACATGCGCACTGACATCTGTGCTCATGTGTCATGAGAATGAGACAAGGACAAGCGGAGGAAGAGGAGGAGGAGTTACAGGGCAGCCTCCTGGGGGCCTGCCAGTCCCCACCTTGCTGTGGGGATCGGATAGAAAAGGCATCCCCTGTGGTTACACCTGTGTCCCCATAGTCCAGGCCCGGGGTCACCTTCGGCAAGGCAGCTGGGTGAGCAGCCAGCTTGAGGTATAGTGGGGGCCCCTGTTCTGGGGGTGGTGCCTCGGGAGCCCATGCTGTGTCCCCCGTCCGGGGCTTACCTTAAAGATGGTGTTGTCCCCATCCTGGCTGGGGCCATGCCTCGTGGCATGGCGCCAAGGGATGTAAAACCATTTCCTTTCGCCATTGACCCAGCGGAGCCCTGGGTACTGGCAGCTGTTCACCTGGGCCACCAGCCAGGGCTTCAGCCGCACACGGCGGGGCGGAGGCAGGGCCCCAGGGGCAGGCTGGTTCATGGCAAAGGGGTCTGCAGGAGAAAGCCAGAGGGGGAGCATCAGTCAGCCCCTTTGCTGCTGACCACTCCGCGGCAGAGGGGCCTGGGGCACTCAGGGGACCCAGCCATGGCCCTTGGCACTTCCCCTTCCTCCCAGCCCTGGGGCTGCAGTCTCTCCAGTCCATCCAGGTGCTCACGGCCAATTCCCTTCCCGACCGTCAGCTCTCTTGTCAAAGGGTCCTCGCACCTGTGCTGTGTTTGGGGGCAAGGGAGGGAGGGTTTACCCTGTAGTGCGCGCCCCACCCAGACGCCCTTCACCAGACAGGGCATCACTCCCCCAGCTGCCGTGAGGCTGGCACAGCATGGAGGCAAAGGGCTGCCCATCTCCGAACCTGCCCTTCCTGGTCGCCACACTCCAGGCTAGGCCCACCCCTGCCCTCGGGAGACAGCCCACAGCCAGTGAGTGACTGACACACGGGACAAATAGACTGGTCCCTGCGCTCCAGGGCTCCCGGGGTGTCAGGCAGAGGCCAGCCTCCAGCTGACTCCGCATCCTTGCTCAGCATTCGCCCTGCCCCACCCTGCTCCCCCTCCCTCCCCCTCCCTCACTGCACTGCCTTCTAGGAAACCTGGCCCAGGAACTAGCCAACCTGCAGATGGAGGGAGGGTTTCCACACCCAGTCCTCAGAGCTTCCTTTCTCCCTCAGTTTCCCTCAGGGATCAGGCGCCCCCCTCCCCCCTGCCCCCTCCCCCTGGCCTGGACATCTTGTGAGAAGTCCCATCAGCCTCCTCGGTCTACCTCCTGCATCATCAGGACAGCTGTCACCAGACTTAGATCCTGTCCTTGGAAAGCCACCGACTTCCTAGACTGGCTCCTCCCCTCCAGACCATGCATTCATTCAGCAATTAGTAAGCACCCAATGTTTGCCAGGCCCCGTGCTGCCCAGAGCGTTGGGAGCTACAGGGCTAAGGTCTAGTGTCTGCCCGAGGGGGGCCAGGGCCACCTCCCTGGGCCAGTCTCTGCTTCCCCGGTCACAGGACAGCTGGCCACATGGAGCCCACACCTCCTCCCCTGCACCTGCCAGCCCCTCTCCCGACTCAGGACCTGAACCTTCTCTTCACTGTCCTGAGCCCCCTCTTGCCCCCCTTCACCCTGGGTGGTGTCTCTCCTGCCCTTGCCCTTAACCTGTGAGCACAGATTCAGAGGCAGAAAGGCCTGAGCCACTTTCGAGACTCAGAGGGGAGGCTGTCACTCAGCAAATAAGGAACAGAGGGCCAAACAGGATGAGAAACCAGGCGGCCTCCGACGGGGCTCTGGTTTCTGAGCACAAACAAGTAGATGGGTGTGTACGAGGGCACGCACTGGCCCCGGGCCGTGGTTCTCTCCCACACCCTGGGTACCTCCATCCCCTCAGAAGACCCTCCATCAGTGAAGGAGTGGGGTGGTGGCGATGAGGCTGGCATGGGGTTGGGAGAGTGGCATTCCCAGAGGCCAGTCCCCCTAGAACTAGGGTGACAGGCAGATAGGTGCCAACACTTGCCCTTGTGGGGTGGGCACACTGACTCTCACACTCCACTCTCCATGGCACCATGGGTGGCCCCGAACTCTGCTTGCTGAGATGAGTGGTCTGGGGCTCTTACTCAGCCTTGCACCACCACCCCCCCACCCATCTTGTTTACTTTCCAGCTGCGTGGGCCACCTCCTCAAGGGCAGGGCTATCTCCTGCTTTGCCCTTCTTCCACATGCTGCCCCCAGCCCAGAACCCTGCCCCTCACTGGACCAAAGTAGGACTTAAGAACACCAGCCAACTGACACACGGCAGATGCTAGAAGTGGTCTGCTCCCCCGCCGCCTGCCCCCACCAGCCCTGCTTTCTCCAGGACCCTCCCCTGATCGGAGAGAGTGAGACCAGACCCACGAGGAAGTCTGCCTGGGCTGTGCTGCAGGCCAGGCAGGGAAGGAATGGCTGAAGGAACTGGGGTGTCCGGGGTGGTGAGGGGGACACTCCGTGGGGTGGGGGATGAAAGCTGTCCTTAATATCTGAGCGAACACTGCTCCCAGAGGGACCAGGGTGTCCGTCCACACCAGGATGACACCAGGACCGCCCGGGCCGGGGTGCTGCCTGGTGCACTCAAGCCCCAGTGGGCTTCCTGGCCTTGCCTGCCCTTCCTGGGCGGGAGGCTGACTCCCCTCTGCTGTTCCAGGTCTGCTTCGGCCTTGGAGCACTGAGCCTCAGTTTCCCCTGAAATTCCCTGCCAAGTACCTTTTTTGGGTTGCAGCTGCTAAGTGCCACCTCCTGCTAAGGTGTCCCCATGTGTCGGCCTCTCCTCTGAGCAGTGCCCAGGTCCAGGCTGGGCCAGGGAGGGTGGGAGTGCACCCACCGCTGCCCCCAGGCCTCAGAAGACGAGTGGCTCAGTTCCCCTTTCTGTACCAGCCTCCACCCAGCACCAGGGGAAATGAAAGTGGCCAGACCAGACAACTCGGAAACCTGACTCACTGGGAGCTGGGGGAGGGATGGATGTGGAGAGAAATTGTCATTTGGGTCTCCCAGACCAAATCCTCAGTCCCTCACCCCATAGCCCAGCCCCCACCGCCTAAGCCTGCTGGTGGTCCTGGTACATTCAGTGTGGCTCACAGCGCCTCCCCCAGAGGCCTTGGGTCTGGAATATGGGGCCAGAGCCACCAGTGACAGGCAATTCCAGCTCAGTGAAGGTGGACGGAGGAAAGCTGGCCTGCCGCTGTGCCATGGGTGGTGCAGCTGGGAGAGCAGAACGGGCGAGGAAGAAGTCGGGGTGAGTCTCTGCCCGGCCCTGCCCAGCACTGCTGCTCAGTACAAAGGTATGGAAGTTCCTCTTGTCAGAAAGGGACAGCCCCTTCTGGCAGCCTCGGCAGGGGTTATTGAAAGGGCCTCCCACGATAAGTTCAGCAGAACCAAGGAAGGGCCTGCCCAGCACAGGGCAGAAGGGTCTCCAGCCTCAGGGAGTCTTGCCTGCAGCCAGGTGCAGCAGGACCAGGTTCAGTGTCAGCTTCCCAGAGAGGCTTCCTCCTGCGGGGAGGCGGCTTAGGTCTCACTGACACCATCCTGATGCCAGGAGTTCTGGATTTCAGCGTCTTTGTGCTCCATCCGTACTTTCCCTCCAGATGGGGGCAGTTGCTCAGATTCCCCGGGGAGCCCGGGAGCTGTGGAGCCGCCCTCAGCAAGTCCTCTCCGCTGCTGGGAGGAAGCCCTGACTGTCCCTCAGAGGGCAGCGTCTGCCTTCTCAGGAGCGAAATGTCTGCGGCCTCACCCAGACCTAGCCTTGGGCATCTGGGCCCTGCCAAGCGAGGAAAGACTGCAGTGCCTGCATGGGCTCCAAGGAAACACCACAAGAGGTGTGGGCTGCTCAAGACCTGAGGGGGCCCCAGAAGTGGGGCATCTAGCTGGGCGGCCAGGAGCCCTCTGGGATGAGGGAGGCCCCACAACACACACCAGGGCCCTGAAGGCCCAGCAGGCAGTGGTCAGAGGCGCCTGGAACACTGTGGGCACCAGGGACCCTCTATGGTAGGCTGAGCAGCAAGCCCCTTGCCACCTCCACGTTGTCGCTGCAAACCCTGCATCAAGCTCAGGGAGAAGAGAGGGGAGAAGGGGGGCGGGGAGGCTGTCCCTACGCCAGTGAGACCCTAAGTCCTACCCCCCCCACACACACACACAGGTGAGTTGGCCACACTCCGAGACCAGCGGCGACTGGGGGCAGCACATGCAGAGGGAAGAAGCCTCTCTCCGCCTCCTCCCAGGGGAAGGAGGTGGGGGAAGGCCGAAGTGAAGGGGGAACCCCCAGAGGTGGGACTTTATATAAGGAAGGGTGTTTTCCCAGGGCCTCCTTAGACTTGCTGGGAGCCTCAGCGCCCCGGGCCAGTAGTTCGGGGGAAGTCGGGCACTCAGCCTCCAGCCCGACTGCCCCCCCTCCAAGGACCTGCAGCTTCCTCCATCGGCCCCGCACGCGTCCTCCCCTACTGCTCCTGGTCTTTTATCCCCACCCTGGGCGCGCGGGAGTCCAGGCCAGGCCCTGCGCTCGGGACCCACCGCCCTCGCAGGTCCCGCCCCCGGAGGGCTGCCGGCGCGGCCGCCCCCGGGGAGCCGGCTCGGGGTCTGGCTCTCAGACCGCTCCTCGGCGGGGGCTTACCCAGTCCTCCCCCCGCCCGGCCCGGCGTGTCCAGGCTGCCAGCGAGGCCAGGAAAGTCCCTCCGTCCCCGCGCGGCCCCGAGGGCCCGGAAACCGCAGCGCGGGGAGCAGGCGCAGGTATTCGCCGTCTCCTAAGCGGTTTCCCTGCCACACGAGTCTCTTTCCTCCACTTTGAGAGTCTTAATGGTTTCGTGTCTGAGTTCGAGGGAACTAGCCCCAGAGGTGCCGCGCCGCACCGTTCCCTCTGTGAGGAGGGTCAGCGCCTCCTCCCGTCCGCCACAAGTCAAAAGCCTGCGCTCCGGCCTGACACCCTCTCCCCACTCGCTCTCCGCTCCAGTTCCGGCCGTGAGCCCCACGGTCCTGGGAGGGCGAAGCCCTGAAACCTCACCCTCTGACCCGAAATGGTCAGGGGCACCCGGGGGAGCGCACGGAAAGGGGTGATCGGGCCTCGCCGCTCCAAGGTCAAGGCCAGGCTCCTGCCGGGCGCCTGGGGGCTCCCCATCCATCCTCGGCGAAGCGAGACGGAGGGAGAGAGGCCGCAGAGCTGGCGCCTCTGGCAGCGGCGCCGAGGTCGCCGCCGGGCCGCGGGGCTCCCCGGACGCCTGCAGGACGAAGACCGCGGGGCGCCCCGCGCTGGCCGGGGCGTGGGAGACACGGCGGAGGCCGCCCTGCCCTGGGCGCGCACCTGAGCTCGGGCGCCGCGCGAACCGGACGCGAACCCTCCCCCGCGACCCGCTCCAGTCCCCCCCCCGCCCGGCAGGTGCCCTGCGGGCGCGGGGAGAGGCGCCGGGCGGCCGGGACCTACCTGTCAGTGGCTGCGCCCGCGAGCACCGGCCGGGCGGCGGGGCCGACTGCGCCCTCCCGCAGCTGCGCCGCCAGCCCGCCGGCCGGGCACTTCCGCATCGCCCGCCCCCGCCCTCGGGCCGGGGCGCCGAGCCTCGGTGCGCGGGCAGCGCCCCGCCCCGCCGAGCCACCCCGGGGCCCCGCGCTGACCCGGCGACCGCGGCCCCGGCCTGAGCATCGGGCCGGGCCGGCTCCCCCTCCGGTCCCGAGCCTCCGGGGAGCCGCCGGCAGCGCGGGGGCCCGGACGGACGGCGGGGCTCCCTCCGCAATCTGGAGCCGCAGAACAGCCCCCGGACACGCGCGGGCCCCCACCCGCCCCGGCGCAGCGCCCCGCGGGCCGGGAAGCCGCCCCAGGTCGCGCCCTCCCGGGGCTCGGGATCCCTGCGGACACAGGCCACCAGCCGAGCCACCGGGACGGGGCGGCGGGCCGACGGAGAGAGAGTCCCGGGCCCTGGCGCCCCGCGCTGGCACCTCTCTCGAGGGTCGCCCCAGCCCGCGGCAGGCAGCACCGGGACCCCGACACTCCTACACGTGCCGCCAGACAGAGACCCCCAGGCTGCTCTGCCCCTTCCTCATCCTCGGCCCCACGCCTGCCCGCCCCGGCGCCCCCTCCCTGGTCCCCTCGGGTGCGGGGGGGGGCTCTGGGGTCAGAGTCACAGCCGCCTGCCCCCTCTCCACGCACCTCTACGTGGACCATCCGTCTGCCTTTCTGAACACTTTTCGCTTCCACAAATGGGCTTGGCTCGCTGACCTCAACCTTCACACGGCCGTTCCTCGTCATGCAACGTTCTTCGCTTCGAGTTTTGTATCGGCACCACCTCCTCGGGACAGCATCCGTCCCGGTCGGTTCCCGAGCCCCAGAGCTGGCCCCGCTGGTCTCATCTACGGTCGGAGCGTCTGATTTCCCCTGCAGCCGGCTCACTCAGGAGCCACTCCCGTTCCCACGGTTTTCTGCAGTCATCCGCCATACAAATGTTTTAAAAGGACATTTTCAACTTAAAGGACTACATTTTAGATAGCAAATAAAATACATGAGTTCCAAAAAGTACTATTTGCCCTTGAAAGTTTAGTGCCTGAGTTTTTAACAAACAGGGTGTTAGTCAGTTGATGAATCAGAACTCCCACCCTCCCCTGCCCTGCCCTGCCCTGCCCTCGCCTTCCCTCGAGGAAAACCTGGGCTGTTGGTCTTCACCCCGGGACTGTATCATCCTCCTCGTGGTGGGCGTGTTTGCTTCTCTCCGTCTCTCCCTCTGTGTCCCCCACTCCTTGTAGCCCTAATATGAAATAAAACGTAATTGTATTTCACTGTTTGTATCTGCTGAGTATTTCACTCTTTCATGTAGGTGCACATTTAACCTGTGGATGGAGCAAAAGTGGGTAATTAGATTGTTTTGTATATTTTTTTCTTTCAAAACGAAACTGCTATTTCATTGAAAGTGGTAGCCCACAAAATGAGAACCATTTGCACTGGAGGCCAGTAACGCTTCGTAGAAAATACCCTTTATTGGACTAGAAAATGGAGCTGGAGCCATAGTCAGGAAGAGCTTTCTTTTATTGTCAAATGCGACCACCCCCCCACAGTCTTGGGGGCCAAGACTAGGATTCTGCACTCTGCCCCCCCCAACACACACACACCTTCCGCCTTGTTCAGGGGAGACCCACGTCCCTAGAGACTCCGCATTTCATCAAGAGCCACGCGGGGGCTTTGTGTAGAGGAAGGGGCATCACACTTGAGCTTCCGTCCAGCTCTGTTGGGCCCAAGCTAAGTGACCTTCAGCAGGTCCTGTGGGTCTCAGCATTGTCTGTCAAGGGGGGTGGGGGAGGGATGTGACTGCGCTCACAGCTCTGGCGGGGCTCCAGGGACTCGGGCTATTCAGGGGCTTTGCTCAGCTTGAGGCTCATTTGCCAGGACCAGGGGGACTGGAGCCAAGAACCACTCTGGGCCAGAGGCATGGCGTAGGGAGAGGGGGCCAGGGCAGAGAGCACCACTCAGGATCTTCCACACCCAGTGGCCCCCTTGCCTCCGGATGCCGCCTTCTGTGAAGCACAGCAAAGGGGAAGTGAGGCAACACCGACCCCCGAGGGCTCGCTCCCAGTTCCCCCCAGGGGCACAGGGGGAAGGGGGGATGTGGCCTCCACTGCCCCGGGAGCCTCCACAGAGATGTGTGTCCGGGTCCCTCACTCCCAGTGGTGAGGTGGCCCCTGCCTGGACTTCCCCTGGCTGGGGCATCCGTTGGAGGGTGTGGTGGGAGGCCTGGTTCCAGTGGAAGCTCGAGTGAGTGAGTGAGTGAGTGTGTGCGCGCAGTGGGGGGAAGCTGTGTCACCCAAAGGGAACCGAAAGAAGCCCAGTGTGAGCGTCAGGGAGAGAACAGGGAGGTCCACGAGCAGCTGGACAAGACCCCCACACACCCAGCTCTGGACCTGCAGTGGGGGCCTCAGCAGATGACGCTCCCTCTGCCCACAACCGCCCTCCAGGACCCACACTCTCAGGCCTGGCTGTCTGGATCCCTGTCCCTCAGATACCCCCCTTTCCCGGGAACTTGTTGGCCGGATACTAGGTTCTAGAGTCCAGCTGGGCTGAGTTGCACCCTGGCTCCACCGCTCTGGCTTTGTGTGACCTTGAACAAACCACAGATGCTCTTGGAACCCCCATTTCCCACCTGGAAAGTGAGAGCAACAACATCGCTGCCAAGGATTGGCCGCAAGGCCTAAATTCGACACCTGCTCAGTGAGTGAGCACCTCCACACTCCAGAATGCAGTGGCAAACAAAAGGTCTGTTTTGTCTCAACCCCGTCCTCCTGGGGCTGCTTCCATTCTGTGGAGCCAGGTGGGCAGTGAGTGCGTAAGTGGCAAAATGGGTGGGTGCCTGGTGGGCTGAGCAGGGGCCTGGCAGGATCTGGGGTAGGTCTGTGCGGCCATCCTGGCTTCTGCAAGGTGCACGCTCTTTCTGACGCACACAAGGGCAGCTGTACTATTATCGGTGCCCAGCACACCACAGCTGGGGCTTCCTCCCCTGCTCACTAACTGCCGCCTCCTCAGAGCTTTTCAGGGCACAACCTGGAAGTCCCCTACTCAGCCAGGACGATCACATGGTCTCTAGATCTCCTGTCCCCACCTCTCCCAATGTGCAGCGTGCTCCTCTCTGTGGCCCGAGGCCCAGGAAGCTGGGCAGAGTCCCTCACCGGTCCCAGGCCCTGGCCCTCTGCTCCTCCGCCCTGTTCGGAGCAAACACCACTCCCTTCTCTTTCCCAGTCAGCACCGTCCCTCTCCCCGGTTCTTTGCAACCAGGCTCCCACCCTTTGCCGCAGCTTCTGCCCAGGCCTCAGACTCCCAACTGGAGCAGGTCCTGAGACTGAGAACCGCTCAGAAATGCCAGTCTCTGTGTCTTTTTCTCATTTCAACTCTCAGATCCTGGAATTTTGTGGTTGCCTTTCAATGACTGTGGTGGAGGCTTCTCACTTTGCCCTGAGATTTGCTCCTGGCTCAGCTCAGCACCTCGGCACCCTCTTCCACCCCTCACTGCCTCACCCCTGCCCTGCTTCTGAGTGCAATCTTCACTGGTCCTGCTGATCCTCCCCACACTCACATCCTCTGTTTAGCTGTCCTTATCACCCCCGCCCCCACCAGCTGTGCTTGGTTGATTCAAATACTCTGAAAATCTGCTTAGCTCAGCATTTCACTCAAACCACTTCCCTCCTCACTACTGGACTCTGTCACGGAAGGGGCCAGAACATCTGTCCTTCTTGCTTGTCCGGAGGACTTCCTGCGGAACATGAGACACCTGGACAAAGAGGGGAGAGAAAGAGGAGGAATTCTGACCTGGAAAGCCCAGCCCCCTGGGGAGTCCTGCGGTCAGAATGGACAAGCCCCTGCTTTGTGGGGACAGAGGCCACCCTGTCCCCATGAAATCCTGCTGTGGACCTCAGTGTCTTCTCTTGTCCCAAGCATACCTGGTTGAAGCCCAGTGTCCGTAGGTGCTGCCCCAGGGGGAGGGGCCCCATCGAGGTGCAGGAGGCTGGCCCGTCTTCGATGTGGGGTGCAGGGGGCCACCGGCTCTGGACTGCTCGCCAGCCAGATCCAGCTTAAGCCCCTGCAGCTTAGGACCAGGGCTCAGGATCCTCCCTGGGATAGGACTGTTGCTGCTCTGAGTTGGGAAAGAGGGAGACTCAATTCTGTCCAGGATGTCAGGGTTAGCTTAAGGGAATAGGGGACTCTTCTCAGGTCATATCTGGGCCTCAGGGTGGCAGAAAGGTGGCAGAGCCATCTTGGACAGAGGGAGCTCCAGGAGTGGCTTCGGGATTCTGGAGGAAGCGGGCCTGGGGTAGGTAGCTGTGGCATGACGTCATGGCGGGGGGGGTGGTCATTGCATTAGTCCCACGTGTCTTCTCAACACTTCACTGTGGGAGGAGGGTGTCCCCGCTGCCCCTCTCTGACCTCCTGGGGGGCAGGCTGGGCGGGTTCTGGGTTGAGGATTTGGTGTGTGTGTGTGTGCACGTGCGTGCGTGCATGTGTGCATGTGGTGGAGGAGGGGGTGGAGCACAGACAGAGCAGTGGGGACAGGTGTTTGGTTCCTGCCAGCCAGTCACCCCAGGGTCAACATCACAACCCAGTGGGGTTCAGGCCTGGGAGCTCTGGGTGGGGCATCCCTCACGCTGCTCAGCTGCTCCTGTGGCTTCTGAGGGGGAGGGGGAGGGGCAGAAAGTCAAGAAAGCAGAGGTCCTCGAGACTAAAAGACCTTGGCAGGCCCTGGGCCTACTCTGCTCTCTTGGGCCTTCTCGAGGAAGAGGGGGTGTGAGACCTCAACTGAGGGGAGTCTGGGGGGACTTCTGATCAGGCCTGTGTCCTGGAATCACAGCGTTTCCCAGGTCTCCAAGCCAGGAGCCAGCTGGGACCCTGACGCCCACGCAGGCCCCGTGCTGGGCAGACTGGGCCATGTGGGAGCCGGTGGGCATGGGCGTGTGTAATTGGAGGCTCCCTGCTGCCCCGTGTCAGCCTGGGGACCAGGCCTTCCCTGTTGCTCTCAGCCTCCCCTCCTTCTTCTCTCCTGAGGCAGCCCTTCCAAGGCCCCAGGGAGGCCCCCGGGCCTGACAGCCAGTCTGGGGACAACACGGGGAGGTTGGGGCTAGACGGGAGAAAGGAAGGGGGGCCTTCTCATGGCTCCCTGACTCACTGAGAGAGGGCTTGGCTTTGCAGCAGCAGGCCCCGGAGTGCTCGAAAGGACTGGGCAAGGGGACAGTGCACCCAGGGGTCCTGGGTCCCACCTGGAACTCAGTGGTCTAGAGAGCAAGTGTGCTCAACCCTGTGTTGTCTCTGCAGTTTGAGGATCAGGAAGGACAGGGCAGGGCAGGGGGCCTGGCAGAGGAACAGCCCGTCCCGAGCTGTGAAGAGCCGGGACTGGTCGCCACCAGGCTGCAGCTCAAGGCCGAGGGACATGCTGGCTAAGGCCCCGCTGGAAATGGATGTGATGTCCCGAGGGGGCGGGCCACACGCTGGGCTGACTGAAGATGCGCACGCAACTCGATAACACCGATGAGGCCTTAATATTTCTGGA